TCCGCACAAGTAAATTGCATACCGTATCCTATCGTGAATAAGCACTTAGCCAAATTATTACCGCTAATCTGATATTTAAAAAAGTGGGGGTAGAGGGTGTAGTGCTTATTCACGATAGGATACGGTATGCAATTTACTTGTGCGGAAGACTTTTGATCCAGTCAATAGCAGCTTCTATCTGAACCAATTTACCAACTTCGGTTAAGTCCCCTGAATGAACTTAAAAATTAATAAATGATTAAAAGAATTAATTAAGTCAATTTAATAAGAATTAATTAATGTTAGAATTAATTATTAAATTATTTAAAAGAATCATACACACGTAGAACATCCCCCTCGGGAACATTATAGGTTTCAAGGCTGACCTTGTTATGAGTATCACTAACGCAAACAAAACGCGTCCAGTCTGGCGCCGGTTTGCCAGGAATTTCCGACGAAATATATACATGTTCTGGTAAATTTTTTTTAGACATAGTGTAAAGAATGGGTAATATCGATATGAATTTGGATCGTTGCAAATTTTCTGCATTAAAGGTGAATTTTGATTGGTTAAAGACATCATACGGTCGAACTAATTTAGTCGACCAAGTCGGTTAACACCGTTAACTGTTACTACATTGTAGATCTTTGACTTGGGTAATGTAACACTGATCGACGATAATTCGATAAAAAGAATTCTATATTCTTACTAATTTGATACCGATACGAATTAACGTTAATAAAATATAGTACAACATTAATCCATGATGGGTTTTGAAAACCTGTCATAATAATAGCCAATAATAATAGTTTGTGTAGCGATAATGTTTGATGGAAGATAACTAAGAAACAAAGATTTATTTATTCCATTGAATTAGTTTAACAGCAAACACAACGGAAATTTTTATCAAATTTATAAATGAGTTGGCTAAGGAAAAAAAAAAACACTAAATACTACTATTCACCAAGTATATACATTTTCGCACAATTAATCCGCATTATATATCAATTAAAATAATATTTAAAATATAATTGTATGAACGAATTGTAAAGGAATTCATATGCGGACAGATGTATATAAATATATATTTTTTTAAAATCCTGATAATTACCGTTACAAAAGCAGATGTGCAATAATTTCGTCCATTAAATAATAAAATAGTTTAGACCAATGCGTTATGATAAAAATGAATAATCTTTAAGTTGACCAACAATGCCATATACAAATAACACATGCTCACTTTTAATGGTTCAAAAAAAAAAAAAAATATTATTAAATTAATAACGAAACGATAAATAAATAAATAAATATATATAAAATTAAAGTTGAAATAGTTGAACAAATACCGTAGCTTTCGATGATGAACCAGCCTCATCTGGTAAGAGTAAATTCGACAGAGACATAGCACTGGGACGATTTGCTGTAACATCCAAGATACCCGTTGAATTAGCGTCGACGAAGTATCCGTTATTTCGATCCTGGTTAGCTAGTAACACTAATTGTGCAGCAGCATAAACAACTTCTGGATCAACTTTTGCTTGTTCCAAGGCACTTTGTACTAAAGCCTTGATATCAAGAACCGTAACCTCAGACTTATCTGTTTGATAAGTAAAAGTGGATGCATCATTTTTATCGAACCCAAGTGGTTGTGGGTCTTGTCTTATTTGTTTTTGCAATGGTGACTGCTGTTGCAAAGACTGTGCTGGTGGATGTTCTTGAAAGGCTGTCTTTGAAGTTGTCGTTAAAGTTGTCGAGGCTGTTGTCGAAGTTTTCACTGAATATGTTGATAAAGGAAGTCGACTTGTGGAATCAGTACCGTTTCTTTCGTTCACGGTCTCCATTGTGAATATAAAAAGTTCTTATATTATTCGCTTCGAATAGTTATGAAAAGAAAGCAGGTTTGAATTTTTTTTTAATATTTTTTTTAATATTTTTTTTTGGTTTTTTTATCGTTTTATTCGTTAAAACTGCTTAATTGAAGACCGTGGGCCAAATAATGAGCAAAATGAACCAGTGCTAAAGAGTTGCTAAAAGAATCATCACTCTATATATATATATATACGATGCTGATTCAATTTCATACGTATGATAAATCTCTAACTGCCAGGGCAGTGCAATGAATTACGTTGATCAATTAATCACGTGCATGATACACGACCTTAAGTAATTCAGTGATTATTGTTTCAACACATGGAAAGAGTGTTATTGCAGTGCATCAACGCCGATTTCCAAATTTCAACATTCGGCTTATCTCTGCTATTTATCGCAAATTACAAGTTGATTTTCATTGCTACAGGTTGTACTTAGCTTAAACAAGTTTGAGCTTGTAAAACCTGTATTTTCATTAGAAGTACGTTTATGGAATATAATCTGAAGATTCGTGTGATACATAAACCATATCTAAGCGTAAGATCATGTGACTTACACCCTTTGACGTATAAAAGTCAAAAATGGAATAGATTAAATAAAGTAGATTAGTTCAGTAGTTAGAATTAAGGTTAGGATAGGATAGGGGGCTTAGTTGCTTTAGTTTATACCGAAATTTTGAGTTACCGTACTGCTATTTTCTAGAACTACATTGCACCAGATTATGTAACTTTATCGGTAGGTGTTTTGGTCGGAACGTCTTGATTTTGCCTAGGGTTATGGCGTTAAAGAAAAAAAAATTTAGACTAGATTGCTGACGGTGGGGTTCGAACCCACGCATGCATACGCATACCAGAACTTAAGTCTGGCTCCTTAGACCGCTCGGA